ACATAATACTGTATACAGAGAACCCTAAAGATCCTGTATGGGGCGGGAAAGAAACTCACGCTGGAAATGGGAAAGGGTGGAAAAGAACCCAAGATGGCACATGCATCGCCTTAGCAACCAGGACTACTGTGCATGACAGAAAAAAGAGGATTCAAAAGCTAGGAAGGTGATTGGATGGGAGGGTCATACTCTCCCATCTACTTCTGCTGTGTGTGTATATGTGTGTTGGGGGGTTTCTTTAAAAGGTGGAGCGCCTGAAAATGCTGCACTTTTGCTCCCCTGTTCCCTGCTTGGTGGGTCTGAGGCTGGGGGCTGAGTTTCTTGAGCTGGACACCTAGCTGGAGGGGTTCCGAGTGCTCCCTGCCATGGTGCTCTAGGACCTGCCTGTCTAGGAGCTCAGCAGGTTTCAGGTATGGGAGCTGGGGGAGGCTTGAGAGGGCAGCGGGGGAGACGCAGGCTGTGGCGCTCTGGGAGGCTTGGGTGGACAAGTCCTGCACCCCTTCCCAGGCAGGAAGCTATGGCTGCTGCTTGCCATGGACCATGTCCCTGTAGGCCAGTTGGTTTCAGCCCCAGGGCAGCTGGGGAGGGTCAGGTCCTGCACCCCTCCCTGAGAGCTTCAGGCCTCACAAGGAGCACTGCTGGTGCTGGGAGTAAGGCCAGTAAGAACAGGGTGATGGGGGTGGTGGAGAGATTTGGGCTGACAGGTCCCCAGCAGTGGCATTGCCAGGTAACAAGCCCCGTGCCTCTCTCCCACGCACAAAGCCCTAGAGAAACCACTGTGGTGGTTACCTCCCAAGTCACCTGCCAGCAGCCTGCTTGCTCTTCCAGTGGTGATGGTGGGTGGGGGGTGCACATCAAGAAATCTACTGTCTGTAAGTAAGTAAAAATTTCATTTTCCTTTCCAATGGACTCTGTTTCCAGAGTTACTGCCTATGGGTAATAGGCAGGGAGACCCCACTAGTTCGGTTACAATGACACCAGATAACTACTATAACTAATAAATTAATTCAGTAAAGTAGCAGAATACATAAGAAATATTCAGAAATCGGTTCTCTTTCATGCTGATACCTGTATGATTAATCATTTGTCTCTCAGGTGACAAAGCAGATTTGTTTTCAAACAAATCGCTTCTCAAACAGTTTCCAGGATGAATTACACTTAAGAACGGAATTTCCACTGTTTATCTTCTTGGGCAAGGGGAACAAGCAAAAATAAATGAGATGACATCAAACTAAAAAGTTTTTGCATAGCAAAGAAAACCATCAACAGAATGAATAGGCATTCGCCAATGATACATCTGATAAAAGTTACTATCTAGAATTCATAAAGAATTCATAAACAAGGATGTGAAAAAAAAAGGGAATGCTTATGCACTGTTGGTGCGAATGCAGACTGGTGTAGCCACTGTGGAAAGCAGTATAGTTTCATCAAAAAATTAAAAATGGAACTGCCTTATGTCCACTTCTGGGTATATATCTGAACAAATCCAAAACACTATTTTAAATATATGCACCCATATGGTCACTGCAGTGCTATTTACAATAGCCAACATATGGAAGCAACCCAAGTGACCATCAGCAGATGACTGAATAAAAAAGTTGTGGTATATATACATATAATGGAATATTACTCAGCCATACAAAAAACTGAAATCTTACCATTTGCAACAGCATGGATGGACCTAGAGGGTATTATGCTAAGTAAAATAAGTGTGTTGGAGTAAGACAAACACCAAATGATTTCACTTATATGTGGAATCTAAACAACAAAATAAGCAAACAAAATCGAAACAGACTCATAGATACAGAGAAGACACTGACAGGTGTTGAGGAACTAGGTGAAAGAAATAGTGAAGGGATTGAGAAGTAAAAATTGGTAGTTACAAAATAATCATCAGGATGTAAAGTAGAGGGCAGGGAATGCAGTTAATATTTTAATATTTATGTATGGTGTCAGGTGGGTACTGGTAATACTGGGGGAGTTTTAAAGTATATGATTGTGTAACCACTATGCTGTACACCTGGACTATTATAAAATAATACTGAATGTAAACTATAATTAAAAAATAAAGTTTTAAAAATTATTGCTAGAATGTCACTTCCCTCTTACACTGATGATCAGTCACCCTGCAGAGAGAGCAAGACTAGGCTGGCTGAGGCGAGAGCAGGCCACTCCTGTTCAAATTGTCCTTTTAGGCAGGTTTGCTTTGGTCACTATAGAGGTGATGGGGCCACTGATGTTACAATCTGAGGTCACTTTATGAGGTAGTAAGAGGGCTGCCTGAGGCCTTCTCCAATGGCTGCTCTGATTTCAGGAGGTCCCAAGAGCCTGGGAAAGTCCTCCTGTATGGACTTGCACCTCTGTCTTCTGGTTCTGCTGTTGAGACTCAGTAGATGCGGGTAGGACCTGTCTATCCACAGAACACAGGCTGCAAAGTAGAACCCAGTTAAAACCACACATTCCAGACTCTAACAAGGGCTTAGTCCTGACAAACTTGGAAACTGTGCTCTCTGTAAAAAAACAAAGCTGACTTCTCACGTCTAACTGTGGTAACTGTTCTTGGCATCTCCTTCGAGTGCTATTAGCTGATTCCAGTGATCCATGAGAGACTGAACCCAGGCCAAGGATAACAAAATATGTCCAAGTGTCTTTCCAGATGCCTCTTCTAGTTTGTCCACTCACAGCAGCTCTGATTTGGGTTTAAACCGAAGCAGCTTCATGTATTCCATGAGACGTATGTGGGAGGAGGGGAACTCCCAACCCAAAGGCTGGCAGAGAATCCTAGGGCATTGGTGGCCAACCATTGGAAGCCTGCCCTATTAGCAAGCACACTGCTAGACAGCTGCATGCTTGCCAGGGAAACCTCATTCCTCCAGATGCTTATGTTCCCCCGCTTCTTTCTTAGCTCTGGGAAAGGGTATGGGCTCGGCAGAACACCCAACCATATTCTGCCTAATGTGTTCCTGGGAGGAACCCCTGCTGGCTTCTGAAGTGACTGGGCCTGGGCATCCCCTCAGCCTGCAAAGCACACTTAATGTCCTGTTATTCAAAAAGGCACCACTACTGTGTAGGTTATCTATAGCAAACATGGAATTCTCCAGACTGGCTTCTGCTAATTCAAAATGTGTTCAAGGAGTGGAAACTAATTTATTAACAGTATTAGGCCTTGTAGATGACACAAAGGGAAAAGATATCAACTGAGACCTCTCTGCACCAAAACCAAGCCAAATAAAACTCTTTGGAAACATAATCCAACATAAATCCCCCCACTTTGAAAAAAAATATGGGTTGCTTTGGATTAGTCATGCCATATTTTTCCCAACAACATAGAGAGGTAGCCTAGAGTAACTGTAGAATGTCACCCACTACTCATCCCCACCACTTTTGGACAAATATCTGAACAATCTCCTAACTCCTCAAAAAGTTAATTAGGAAGTAGATCCATGAACTTCTCAAGATGACAGAGATGTTTCCTGGAACCTGAAATAATTTACAGTTAAACTGCTGTTTTCTTTCTCTGCCCTCCAAGTGCTACCCATACTTTGGCAGTGAGTTCTTACTTTAACTTCACCTTTCAAAATCCACAAAGGCCATGGCCCAGGGCCCAGCCTAGGTGGAGATGTCCATGGTTCAGCTCCACAAGCAGCCATCCGTCATGTAGGCCTCGTTGGCCCTGGCACAGAAACCAATAGCTGCTGTTAATCCAGCATGAGATTTTCTTATATGTCAGCCATGCTTAATCATGTACCTGAGAGAACTAAAAATGAATGTGACCTTCCTGTGATGGCAATGAATGACCCATTTGCCTAACATGTTTAAGCTTTTATGTTTTATAGTCCAAACCTACTGACTAGTATGTGTACAAGATTTATGTAGAATGAAGGGCAAACTTCACACTGGGCCTTCTGGAACTTGACTGAGTTGCCAGATCCCTGGGGACCAGGACAGGAGTCCTGTGTTGGGTTTGGATTGTTTGGATCATTTCCAGAGGAAAAAGTCAATTCTTCAGACCTCCCTTCAAGGCCCTCCAAAAGCTGGTCCCAGCCCACCTTTCTGGACTGGTCTCTAAAGCCTTCAGATAAAATATTACAATTTAAAAAAAGGACAGAAAGTAGTATTTGGTGGATGATTTAAATTCAACTCTGTCTGGAAATGTCCAGCTAAATGTCTCTCTCAGCCATGTCATTTTTAAAAACTGAGATGATTCTTAGAAGAGAAAATGCACAGAGATTGGCCCATCCCTCACACTTTTGAATCTTTAGTCATAGTCTAATCTTTATCCAAAATGACCTTCCCACCTACCTGTACCTACTAAAATGCTAGGACCCCTTCAGATATAGCCCAAATCCTCCCTCCTCCATGAGGTCTCCTGGATCTCTACACAACTTACTGCTCTTTCTCCTCTGACACCTCCTGACTTCTTGACAACTGCTCATCATCTGTCACTCTGAGATTTATCACATACTGTCCTGGACTGTAGCGAATGGTGTGTCTCATCTCAGTGCTTACACCACCACCTGTCCAGAGTGTAAGGCACGTGAAATGAGGGGGATGCACAAGGCCATCCACGTGATGGCTATGACTGAAATGAAAACTAAAGAATGATAATGTGCCATTCATATTTAAGTCCTCAATATGAGGCCCTTGTTTTCAACTTTCAGTGAAACGAGCTTGAGCAGTACATAAGAAAACAGCAGACACTGAGTTTTCTTTCTAAGTAATATACCATGAAGCCTGCTGGCTGGCACCATGAGCGGCCAGGAACAAAAGGCACCAAAGGCAAGTGTAGGGCTCAAATGACCAACACTCACATGGGATGATCACTTAGCTATAAAACCCTTTGTTTACTAAAAAAATAATCCCAGGTGGCCAAGCTCTGTGGTCAGGTGGACCATACCTATTCTCTGGCCCACTTGCCGGGTGTCCGACCGCAGGGACTGTGTTTGACACATCTGTCTCCACAATGCTTATGTGTCAATGGTTGTTCAATTAATACTTGCTAAGCAAATGAATTCCTCTTTATTCAGAGTCCATACAAATACAGGTATCAGGTCATATGTGCAGTGTTATTGGAGAAATAAAAGTTGAGTCGACATAGAGAACAAATACTGCTCACATTTCTGCAGAGGACGATGGGTGTAATCTAAGCCACAGTATTTACACTGACTGATTGCATCAACAATAACCAATACAGAGACAGAATGGAAGCCAACAGGAGAAAGAAAACATCCAGGGTATGGAAATCATTACACCAGCATCTCTCCACTGCAGCGTTCAGAACCATTTTATAATCTTGTATCAGATATATGGTGTTTAAAAAAAAATCAATGACATACGAAGATGGCTGGGAACTTTCAGGAGGCCTTGGCTTTCACCTTGGACAGCAGCACCTCATTCTTGCGGCCCTCCTGGGGGGAAAGCAGAGAGAGTGTGTACAGAGAGGTGGTGGCTACATTAGCACCCATGTGAGGCTCAGGTGGTCTTACTGTCCTGCCGTGAGTCCCATGGTAGACAACTTTTGACCAATGAAACCAGACTCCTAGCATGTTGCCACCAGTGTGGTGAAACCTCCTGGTGACATACTGATTTTCATACCAGAACAGTGTATAATGACATTGGCTGTCTGCACTGTCAGACTGAGAATAGGATGACAGGATTAGGCACTGTCACTCCAAACGATTTCATGAAACCTCTAAACCCTTCAAGGGGACAAGAGCTGAAAGCAGACACTTGTGTACCAATCTTGGATTACCACAGAGAGGGAAGAAAGTGGGGGAGGTCCTTGGAGACAGACTAAGGAGCACAGCAGGCAACGCAGTAGAAAAGCTCTTATTTTGGCAACAGTGAAGGTTAAGAATATCCTTAACTTTAAGAAAGACAAACTCACATTTGACATGAGGAGAAATAGGCATCAAGGGACACCTGCTCCCCCTTAAGAATTAGTTGTATGAGATCTATTACTGTATATGCTGAGGATTATCACTGAGGGAGGTCAGTGGCCCCTTCGTCTCTGTGGAACTGACGTCCAGTGGTACAAGGTCACCTCTGCATTATTTTATATTTCCTTCAGATATCTTCAGAGGCTTCTCATTGTGTGTCTTTCTGCCCCCTTGTTCTGACTGGACTTGATAGCTCAGGATACCTCCATCTGCTAGCAAAAATCTCCACCCCTTCCCTGGGTCATGGCATAGGAGCCCTGCTTTAGACTGAGAGGTGAACATGGTAGTGGGAAGAGCCTGGAGAGATTGAGCTTGAGAGCCCAGGACTCCAGTAGCCATGGTTCTTCCCTGGAGATTCATTTAGTGTGGAAGAAAAAAGTTCAATTCACGCTTGAACCCTCTTCAACCAAGACCACCAGAGTCAATGTTTCCATCTCCCTGGGCCTACATGCTTCCAGTTTTCTGGTGGCCCTTTGTTCTTTCTGGCAGAACCACAGCTCATGGCTGCAATGACCCTGGTTTTACTAAAACAAATGCCAGTTTACCTATAGAGTTTACGCTTATCTTTCACTCAGAGCTGGAGAATAGCCAGGCTCTTGGGCTGGGGGTAAGGCTGAATTCTTCTGTCAGAAGCAAGGTGCTCTGACATTTTTTGAGCACATGTTTTTGGAGGGGGAGGCAGTTAATTTTTTTATAGGGTTAGGAAAAGAAAAAGGTGAAGTTGAATAACATTTGTTCTATTAGAAAAGTAAATAAGAAAGTTTTCCTTTTAAAAATCAGTTACTAGGAGAAAAAAACTTCTACACCTCTACCTCCCAAAGTAGGGTGGGTAGAGCTGGAACAAAAACAGGTAGATAGTCACACTGTTATAGTACTTTCTTGACTTCTGTGTTTTTTTGAAATTTCCCACAAAAGACAAAATGATACAATAATGAATAAACTAGCTTTAATTGTTACCCACCTCAACTTTTAAACAAGGCAAAAACAACTCAGGCCCTGGCTGGTGCGACTTAGTAGACTGAGTGTTGGCCTGAGAGCTGAAAGGTCACCAGTTTGATTCCCAGTCAGGGCACATGCCTGGGTTGTGGGCTGGGTCCCCAGTGCGGGGCGTGCAAGAGGAAACCAATCCATGTATCTCTCGCACATCAATGTTTCTCTCCCTTTCTTTCTCTCTCCTTTCCCCCTCTCTAAAAATAAATTAATTAAACCTTAAAAAAAAAGAATGGCACTGTTAAAAAAAAAACAGCAAATGTTTAAGAAAATAAAAATAAAAACAACTGTGAGCATCAAAACACTCCCAAGGTACAGAGTTCCCAGCAGGGATAATTCTGTATATCACACCACACTGAGACAATGCCTGATTTTTCAGTAAAGATATCTAGGCTGTCAGCTGGTGGGTGTGAGCATTGAATAAACTCCATGTAATCTACTAGACACCTTTGGGAGGCTACAGAATAATACACTCTGTTTGTTCAAAGCAAATACAGAAAGAATCCTTTAGATAGTTCTTTCTAGAAGAAAAGGGAAACTATCTCCTTGCCTCTGTTTCTTTCCTGCTTAAAACCATGGGGGCCTGCTATGTGACAGACATAGCACTTCAGCTCACCCAAGATTAAGAATGCCAAGCCAGCTTCATTCATCAGTGCTAGGCTAGAATTTAAATTCTTGCTTTGGTGACCCTGTGAGTGATTTTAGTTTAGAGACACAACTACTTAATGTACTATTGAAATTAAGGCAATCTGTGATTTCAGAATATGTTTTGTTTCTTGGCAGACTTATTATTAACAAACTCTCCAGTGTGATCCAACCAGTGGAATTCTAGAGACAACCCCATGTCTCAAACCAAAAAGTCTTGACACCAGAGGAGGCTGGAAATCACGAGGTGCCTATATGGAGCCCATGGGGCTTCACTAGTGCTCAATTAATGTGGAACAAGCCACACACAATAAAGGGAACAACTAAGGCTGCTGAAGATGATCCTCTGGACAATATTATTGTGCTCTGCATAAAGAGTAATTATTGCCCAGCACAAGTACTAGGGGCCAGGATGTGGCAGGAATTCAGAAGTTGGGAGCCGGAGACTAAGCATCTGGGGGAGAGGCAGGCAAAGCAGGCAGGACAGAGAGGGTTCTGGGAGAAGGCTCCATCCTGGGATGAAAGTCCAAATTTTCAAACTGGTTTGCTACTACAAGTGAGCTCTTACTTGGAACTGCAATATATAAAATATCAGAATTACTCTGGTTGAAAGTATGGAGAGGCGATTGGGGAGGAGCAAGCAAGGTACCATTGCAACTGGGGTGGCCCCAAATTACCTCAGAGGAGCTTGTGGAAGAAAGTTTAAGGTTTTAAAAAACTGACAGGTACTTGCTAATTTAAAATTTTTGCCAAGTAAAATGCTATTGAACAATAACTATGCACTATCACCATCATTTTATAAGAGAAAAGCAATTTTAACATCAAAAAAACAGGAGGACATGATATTTTTTAAAAAGGTGAGGCCTTTCGATAAAAAAATACTTAGCTATCTGAAGAACATACTACATTTCTCCTCCCTTCTATTCCTCAGAACACTAAGGCATGGGCAAGCACCTGGTCTAGCGGGTCTTCCCTGGCTCTGAAGGGCCCATCCTGGGTCTCTGCTGTGACAGTAACTGAGTTTGAGAAGGCAGGAACACAGAACATTGTGATGCTTAATGTATCTGAAGGAACCATTTCCTCTGGATGTCATCCTAAGCCCTTAGCCCTGAGAGCCTGTGGTGCAAGTATGAATTCTGTTTTAATTTGCTTTGATTTTGACAACATATACTTATCCCCCCACCTGATTTGCTTTTTGTTTCTGCTATCAAAAGGGTAGTGTTGGCATTTCCAAGCAATATTTGAAATATAATTCTTCTCCTCTGGGCCTTCACTCTTTGTGAGTTATTTGATTTTAAGAGAAAAAAAGAGCCTCTTTGTTCCTTGCCTGCTCACTCATCGTCCCTTCTGAAACTTCAGCTCCAGCCCCTAGATCTCGAACACCTCGCCTGGCCACTCTCCCACGCTGCCCAACTGCAGGCCTTCAACCCGACTGCTCCCTTGCTGAAGGACTCTTGTTCTGCCCATGGCCAAGTCCTTCCAAGGCTGAAATTACTTATTTCTTATTACTAATTTATTAGGGTTTCTGTTTGTTTCTGTTTCCTCACTTATCTGCATCCCCCATCACAATATAAACTTCTTGACATAGGGACAGACTGAGTCTATTTTACAACCTGATATATTCCCAGAGGCATAGGAGGAGCTAGAAGAACATTTATTAAAAAGATAAAGAATTTTGAAATGCCCATGGGTTGTGACTTCAAAAAGTTAAATTGCAGAACAGGGATGGAAAAATAAAGAAGGAAAAGATGGGGAAGGAAGGGAGGAGGAAAGGGAGGTAGGGAGGGAGGGAAGGAAAGGAAAGAGAGAGGCAGGGAGGAAGGGAGGGAAAAAGGAAGGAAGAAAGGCCCTAAAAATACCTAAAAACAAAATTATTGGTATGGAAAGGTTATTTTTTACTCTATAAACCAAACACAAGACTACAACCTACCTTTAGAACCTCTGTATTTTCAGCAATCTCTAAACTCACTAAAACCATATGGATTTAAGTTAGAATAGGGAGGAAACTCCTGGAAAAAAAAGTTGCTGAGATCCTGGGAAGTGACAAAATAACCTCCCTTCTGGAATATCTCTTAAGTGGAGAGCAAGTATTTGTCTTTCTGGAACAAGTGAGAGTAGCCCTGACCAAATGCAGGGGAGAAAAGACAGAGACAAATGAAATTCAGTGACTATTGGGAGGTACAGGTGCCAGATGCAGTGCTAGATACGTTCGTTTCTCATCTGACCCAATAGAACCCACCAACAATGGGAGGGGCTACATCACTGCCCAAGTGCACAGATGCAAAGTGGTAAAGGTAGGATTTCAACCCAAGCCTGCACACTCAAAGTTTACTCTCCCTACATGGCATTTCAAGGTCCCTCTCCATGTGAAGATTGAGGGGAGGAAAAGCTCCAGATCTGCATCTATAACAAATGTCATTTCTAGGTGCTCTTTGAGGTGGACTGATGTCCACCTCCAAGTACTGGTCATTTCATGAATTTAATGTGCTTATTAAGTGTTAGAAAAGTGAAAATAAAGATGTAATGTCTCTGGAGCATTCAATTAGAGCCTCAAGACGGTCTCAGAACAATACAATGTTGACTTACCCAGATGCCACACACACTTCACTGTCAGATTATACTGCCAATGGAAAACCAACTAACTAAGTGCTCTGGTTTTTAAAGGCTTATCTGGAAATGAACATAAATCTCCCTGTAGCTTTATATAACCGGCCCAACCTCCCCCTTACCTCCTTGAACTCTTTCACAGTCTTAAAGTATAGCCTCTGTTTTTCCAACAATTCCAAGTACTGGTCATTCAACTGGTCTCTTCTCATTTTGTTCTCTTGCTTCTTCTTTTCCATCTGTTGAAACATTTTGGGAAATGGTAATGAAAAGTATATTCTGACCAATAGCTGTTAGCAACATCCAGAAGGCAACTCTTACGAATATTTCATAGATTTCCTCCAGTATCTTCCCTCTTTATATAATTTCTGAGGTTGGTTTATTTATTTGCATGATACTGCACAGAGGCTCTATTTATTCAGCACTTCTGCCACTGGGCATTAACTGTTCCCTTTTAAATTTTTTTTTGTGACTAAAAACAATTTACAATCAGTAAGTTGGTGGTCCTCAACCAAAGGCTATTTTGCCCCCCAGAGGACATCTGACAATGTCTGGTGACAGCTTAGATGGCTACAACTGTGAGGAAGGGGTGCTACTGGTATTTACTGTTAGAAGCCAGGGATGCTGCTAAACATCCTACAATGTATAGGACAGTCCCAATAAAACAAGAAATTATCCAGCACTGAGGTTCCAACAGCACAGTACCTTCCCCAGGAAGGCATCTCCTAGTAAACAGGAAGGAGAAGCCAAGGGAAAAAGTCCAGTAAGTTCCTGTTGTTCTTACTATTAGCAAGAGCAGCTCTCAGAGGAGGAGCATGGCAGGGTGGAAGGGTCACCACACTGAGATTTGGGTTGTGATTGGCTCATGGTGAGCCAGGTTCTCTGTCCTCCACCCACCTCATACCCCAGATCATCAAGAAAGGACTCCATGCATTCTCAGCAAGACAGCCTATCCCACCTTGGGTAATTGTCTATGCGCAAGGTAAATGCTGCCTCATATTAGCTCTCATTAGCTCTTTGTGGATGAAAAGTCTCATCACTAGTGACACATTTTTTTCTCCTTTGACATCATTTTTACTAAAGTTATTAATGGGGAGGTTAATATTTTTCTACAGAGAAAGGGATATGGAGAGGATTTTCCCTCAGTTCATCACATGAGATGAGATTATAGGCAGCTTGAAAGTTTGCCTTTTGTGGATGGGTTTTTATGATGATGTGTCCCATAGGCAACTCTTTGTTTGCATTCTGGCATCGACCACTCTGCTCCAAGATCATAAGAAGAAATACCCTAAGTCCCCAGAAGGTTTTAATGCTTTGCCTGAGGATTGTTTTCTTGTGATACATTTTTAAAACAGGACTGAAAGCAAGAGCCATTTGCAAGTACTGTACTAGTGAGGATTCACCTGGTTACAAGTAGTAGGAAAATACAGCTGGTCTGGTTTATAGACAGCAAGTCTGTTTCACTACTGACAAAAGGGCCCACATTCAAAGCCACAATTCAAGGAAAATCCCATGCTGTCCCCAGACTGGATGATTCTCTGCAAAGAGACCTCTGGAGCACCCATACCCCTTTTCAGTTCCTCAATATTCAATCCTGTCTTCTGAGACATTCAATATCCTGTCACATCAGTACAATTCAGTTCAGCAATTATTTGCATTTTTTATAGGAGATTCCTGAAAATTACAATGCTCTTGAGATTCTAAGGAATCTAATGGCAAAATCAATCTCTAATGGCAGAATGTCAGGAACCAAAGATCCAGTGAGGAAGTGTTTCTGAGCAAAAGTGGAAGGCTGCTGGTGAAAGCTGGTTTCATCTGTAAAATGGGTATAACACCACTTACTTAAGAGGGCTTAAGGAGGCTTAGTACGGTGCTTGGCACAAAGTAGGTTCAGTGGAAGGTTCTGCTAAGAGCTGCCTTTGAATCACCAGGGCACAAAGCCCTGGGAGCTGGCCCTGACCATTGCAGAGACACTGAACATATTAGCTCAGGCCTGAGAACAACGAGAAGAAGCTGATATTTCCCAGGGCCTTCTCCATCACCAGTATAAAACCCGTGTTACACAAAAGATGCCATCTAACCTTCATTCTACTTTGCTTAATTCCTTCTACGATCTGTTCCATCTGACGTAAAAACTGGTCTCGGGCAGCAGGGGAAGCCATGGCTCTGAAAGAAAAACCAGTGGAAGTGTGATCAATACCCAGGAGTGAGCATGAGAAAGGCGCCGGGAGTCAGCCCCATAGCCACATGATGCTCCAAGAGGCCTTTTCAGATGCACCCGTGAGGAACCCAGGGATCCCAGACAGTTAAGAATTCTAAACTCTAAAGAAGGCATAAAAATTAGCCTGGTTTTATAACTGAATATTAATCTTTACTTTTCCTACAATTTTCTTCAGTAACATGTATTTTGTTAAATCAAAATGAAATATCACTAAAATTAACAAAAACATTTTTTACTTTGAATGATAGTAGGTACTGCTTAAGAAATAAATTTCATTTAGCTTTTAAAATTTTGAGGATTTGGAGACATTGCTCAAGATTAGTAGCTATATCCTGAGATTTTCCTAAAACCAAGCTGGGAAATCTGTTTCTCGAAGTTGAAGCTAAATGAGTAGGTTCCCTGATGTCCTAAAACGTTCCCTTCACCTCCAGTTCTACAGAGGAAGAGACACCAGAGGGTCAGAGAGCATGTATACAAGGACTGAGAATTCTTTCAAAGAATGGCAACAGCATGCATCACAAAAACACTCAAACTGCAGACTCTCTCAACTGTCAAGAAAGAAAAATGAAGGCACCATTTTTAGAGATGTTATAAGGTTCTAAGTTACTAACGAAATCTTATCAGGGAGTTATAGGTGTTTTTAATTAGAAATGAAGCTTAAAATCTAGAGCTTGTAATCTATTAAGATCTTAAGTCACTGGTCACCTGGGGGAGGACAGTAGAGATTTGTGCTGGAAGAAAATAAAGTCTATTGTACAGAGAGCAGGCCCTGGAGCTGTCTGGATGGTGGGAAGGCCAATGGGCATGCATGCCTGAGGGCTGGTAGGATCTCAGTATAGGTGGACCTTGTCATCCAATTTTTGGAGGAAAAAATTCATATCTGAATGAAGATGTTTAGAAGATACACATTAATTTAAAAACAGTATCTACCACAATATTTTAAATAATCTTTTAAAAATTATATAGATTATTTCATTATCTAGATTTAAAACATCTCTATGTCCTCAAGAATAAATGGTATCAATCTAATCTTAGCAAGACAAAAATAATACACAAAGAGGTTACAGTAATTTTGCATATTCAAGTTATTTGAAAGTTAATTTTTCCTTAAGATATTTCTTGGTGTTTTTTAAAATTAACTCTAATATAGTGTTTTTTGTAAAAACTCAAGAATCATGTGAACCAAGAAACATCTGCGCTTAGTAGAGGGGTGAAAGTGTCAGAATCACATAACACAGCATGGAGTCTTGCTCTGTCACACCACTGGAACACCAAGGGGAGCCAACACAAAGTGCAGGGCACACCATGGTACTGACAAGGAGGAGGACTGACAGTCTGACAGCACTTACTGTGAGAAGTTCTCATGAATTGAGTTCAGCAGGCTGATCTGAGAAAGAAAGAAAAAAAGGAAAAAACTATACACAAAAGATTGAAAGATCCCTGTGCTGCCCCAACTACTGAAAGCCTGCCCTGCTCTGGATAGTGCTTCTGAAAGAGCACACTTTGTTTATGGAGATGAAACTAACATGAAAAAACCAAAACAAAACAGCAACATGTTCTTAGCACCACAGTTTTCCCCCAGAGAATCTACTTGGACACCCCATGACCACAGGAATATAGGAAGAGGGCTCATTAAAAGGACCTAAATCCCCAAAGGGAAAACACTAAGCTAATATTTGGGCTCTTTAGGCAAGCTGCCATCACTGTCCTTTCTATTTTGCAAACACTGCCCTTTATTTTGAGGGTTATTAGCTGAGCACAGGGTTAGTCAGGATGGGGAGTGAGAACACTGTTTCCATCCTATTCCTTCCCACAAAATATTTTTGCCAGTGTGGTCAACTGAGTGGCTCTGAGGGCCTCCATTCCCATGGAAATGGGAATTTCCTCTGCACAGTATGCCCCTCTATCTGCCCCAATGATATAGTCAAGGGCAGAGCTCTGAGTCCAGAGAAACTAGAAACCTAGTTCCTCCTTCTGTCTGTGTCACTAACTTGTGAGCTCAGTCAGGACTAAGAGTTTACTACACTTGGACCTGAGGTTCACAGTCTGTAATGTGGAAATGATATCCTTGTCCTATGACTCCACTGGGATGTCTGAAAGCTACAATATCACAGGCATGAACAGGTTTGGAATAAAATGCACAATTCATGTGAATGAAAAGTTATGTGTTAATATGGCTTAGAATTAAAATGCCCCCACTCCCCTGCATACTCCTAGTTTTTAAAAGAATGCAACTTCACATGGACAAAGCCAAAGGAGGGTAGGATCAAAGGTGGGAGGTGGGGAGTGGTGGGGGGAAAATGGAAACAACTGTACTTGAACAACAATAAAAAGAAAAAAGAAAAAAACCTCCCTAATTTGGTAAAGGAAGTAGACATGTAAATCCAAGAAGCGTAGAGAATCCCAATTATGATGGATGCAAAGAAGCCCACTCCAAGACACATCATTATTAAAAGGCCAAAGGTTAAAGATAAAGAGAGAATCTTAACGGCAGCAAGAGAAAAGAAGTTAATTACTGGAAGGTTGCCAGATGGGAGGGGAGAAGGGGAGAATGGGTGAAAAGCTGAGATGATTAAGAAGTACAAATAGGTAGTTACAGAATAGCCATAGGGATGTAAAGTATGCATAAGGAATGGAGTAGCCAAAGAACTTATATGCATGAACAATGGTGGGGGGATTGCCTGAGGGAGTGAGGGGTGCTGGGTGGAGGGGGGCAAGAGGGGAAAAATCAGGATAACTATAATAGCATAAACAATAAAATATAATAAAAAAAGAAAAAGAAATAAAAGAATGCAACTTCAGACATTGCCAATGAAGGAAGTTCAATGGGTTCAAGTCTTTTTCAGAAGGGGCTGGCCCATCCCTAAATTAGGGTAGGCAAGTCTTTCGCATGCCAGGGAGGAAGACTCCCAAGGCCAGGACATGTAGCAGAGCTATCCCAGCAAAGGCAATCAAATCATCTACCCAAACATTTAACAAATGCCCGTTATGTGCCCATCGCTATGTAAGGCCCTGGATACAGAAAAAAATGAGAGCTCAGCCTTCCTTAAGGAATGTCTCTACAGGACAGGGGTGTCAAACTCATTTTTGCTGGGGGCCGTATCAGCCTCGAGGTTGCCTTCAAAGGGCGGAATGTAATTTCAACTCCTTAACAGTTAAAGAGTAGTTACATTTATACAGTCCTAAAATTATTCTGACCCTTTCAAGGCAACTGTGAGGCTGATGTGGCCCCTGGTGAAAATTAGTTTGACACCCCTGCTGTAGGAGGAGATTTCTCTCATTTGATTAACATCAGGCAATAAGGGTGACAATAATTACAGATGCCTCCATGTGGGTTCAGGTAAGAGATACGTCTGTAACATTGTTCTTATTAAAGTGGCAATCAGTGCAGGTTACAAGGTGATAAAATAAAAACAAATTCTGTCAACCGTAAAGTGAGGGAGTAAGCTGGAACTAACATGAATTGAAAACTATTATGTGCAAGGAACTCCACATTTTTCTCATTCTGTCCCCATAATCATTTGAAGAAGGTGTGTCCCCATTTTCCTTGTGGGGAAAATAAGGCCAGGCTACAACCCAAATCCGTCTGACTCCGAAGCCCCTGCTCTCAACACCACACTGTGCTGCTACTATGAAGATCAGTACTGTCCCGTTTTTAAATGTAGTTATATACTAAGCCCCCATCATTCGTCATCCAACCTCAGGGAGACCTGACTCACTAATGGATTTAACCTGAAAGTCAGAGGAATATGGAGGGACTGTCAGTGCCATGTCAGTGCCCTTTTCACTCATGCTTTTTATCATCCTTTCAGTTCACGCCTCTGTCTGCCACGATAATTAAACAGACATTTCCCCATGAAAACTATGACAAGTGCCCCATCCCCATTTCATTTAGCTGGTTCCTTCCTTTAAAACTCAAACTGAAGTTTCATCCACTCCAGGCCCCCCTCCATATGCATCTCCTGACCTCCCACTGTTTCTCTTAATGATGGCATGTCTTGCATGCACTATGAGACAGCTGTCCACCTGCCTCACCTCACCCCAGACATGAGCTCCCATGGAATCTTGTGCACTTTCTGAGTATTTCAGCCCTGGTCATACAACAGGCACTTTTTCTGCTGAAAATGAATGCATCCCAGACACTAAGTTCATTTGAACCTCAGGGGTCAGCAGCACTGGCAGCTGCTAATCTGATTAAATATTTTCTTTTTATAAAGGTTCTTACCTCTTTTTCCAAATAAACCTTTTTATCATCCAGTGTATTATACAAAGTGAAGAACTGCTTGGTTTCCTTGTGCACTGCTGAAACTATAAATGCAAAGAAATCAGCACATGGATTAAAAAATGTATCAAAATAACTCTAAGCACACACTCCCCCATAAGACACCCTCTACCACCAAGGGTTGGACCTGTCAGGCTGACACTATTGACCTGCACTCTGGGAAGAAGCCCCACAGGTACCAAAAAAAAAAAAAAGCATGCGCAGAGCTGCAGCAGGCTGATGGCACAAAGCCAGTTGTAAGTGGCCCAACCAAGAGGGGTGGCTAGAGGAATCTCCCTGTCAGATGTGGGTTTCTCAGAAGTCCTTCAGGTGAGGAGTCCTGGGAAGAAGGTGGCAAGGATGATGAAGCCACCACTCAATGTCTTCCTGTTTGTATGGCTTCCTCCCTTCCCGCACCCCCAAGAGTAGGAGCTGTAGCCTGTTCACTTTTGTAACTCCCACGGTGAGCACAAATCCCTTCAGGAGACCCTCTAAAATACCCCCTAGACAAATGACCTGCCTAACCAGGGGCAGAATAGACATCAAATGAGTATGAATTCTCTTCCCATCCCTGTGCATGTGACTAAGGAGACACTTATTTACCAAGGCTCCCAATATCTTTACCTATCAAATTACTCTATATCTCTGCCTAACTCCCCTTCCTCACTTTTCCCTATAGAAAAATGATTCACAAGGAAATGGTCAAATTCCAGAACTGTGAATGTGCTGTGTTCACCAGAGAATGAGGTCACTGAGGTGAAAGCTTCCTACCCAAACTTACCCCTTCCATTCTGGCTGGGTGGCTGGGCAGCCCCTGTCACATAGCTCTGAGCCTGTGACCTCTGAGCTGCTCTAAATTCCCATAATACAAAGCTGCCCAGAAAGAGGTGAAATCCCCAGACAGGGGTTCACAGTCAGGCTTTGTAAGCTAAGCACTTCACTGTAGCTGTAGCTCAAGACCCTGATACCTAAAGGTTATCAGGCATGGCACAGCTGAGACTATGATGAGGTCTGGTTTCCTGCTATGGACTCTGGCTCCCTGAAAAGCAGGTTCCCTCTGGAGCAGCAGGACTAGCAGGGTGGAGCAGGGCAATGGGGAGGCAGAGCAGGCCTGGGCAATTCTGGTTTCTTGGGCAATTGCTATAAACACTTAAATATGATTCTTTAAACAAGTCACTTTTGATTTTTATATCTAGTAACAGCTGTGTCTCTCTGCTGCAGTGCAACTCAAAGATAGGTGGAAGTCAGGGAAATATGCTGAACATATTTGGTAACAGAAGTTAAAAATCGGATACAAGTACTTTGATTCAATAGTAACAAATGTTCCCAAGTCAAAATGTCTAATTTATAGAAAATCACATTATGACTAATCAATATAAAGTATTATTATTATTATTGCTAAAAGCTTTATAACAGTGGTACTCAATCCTGTCTGAAAAAGAGAATCACTTGGGGACCTTTTAAAGTCCATGATCAATTATATAGGATTCTTAGGGAACGGGCCCCAGGTGACTACAATGGGTGGCCAAAGTTGAAAATCACTCTGTAAACCAACCAACCAACTTTCAGCTTAACTGCTCAGGAGTGTAGCTGTCACCCATACTCCATCCAGCTCAAGGACTGGGTGGCGGGTGCAGGTATTTGATGACAATATTTTTTTTAAAGATTTTACTTTTTTATTTTTAGAGAGAGGGGAAGGGAAGAAGAGAGAGAGGGAGAAAAGCATCAATGTGTGAGAGAAACATCCATTAGTTGCCTCTCACCCACTCCTTACCAGGGGACCAGGAATCCAACTGGCACCCTTGTGTTTCGTGGGACAATGCCCAACCCACTGAGCCATACTACTCAGGGCCTGATAATTTAAAAGAGAAAATGATGTAGATATTCTGGTACAACAGATTAAAATGCTTCTGGTGTAAAAATGTCCTATCAAAATGACTTTAACATGTGAAATTTACCCTGTGAAATATACAAATACAAGGTATTACTTATTGTTAAAAGCTTTAAAGTAGGCAGGGTAGAAAATTCAGAGAAAAAATTTAACTTAAAGGTTGAAACTATTTTCTGCTGAGAAACTGCTATTGTTGATACATGCCCCAGAGCATCTGAATCAAACGTGAAGACTAATATTCAGGCTCTGACTGCTGTAGCTCAATGGGCTGGGTTCCCAGTTAGGGCACATGCCTGGGCCAGGTCCCCAGTTGGGGGTATACAAAGCAGCCAATCGATGTTTCTCTCGAATATCAATGTTTCTCTCCTTTTCTTCACATCTTCCCCTTTCTAAAAACAAAACAAAGCAAACAAAAAAACCCACTATAATGCTCAGATGGTGGGGAAAGAAGTGAAAGAAAGCATGATTCTGGACTCAAATAAGGACAATGCTCTAGACTGAACTAGAACGATGCCTGAGAGGCCAGGATCTCAAGGCAAAGTCTGAGTTGGATTTTAAAAGATAGTCAAGGTTTGCTGAGTGGGGACTGCAGGGCAGTGGCAGTTGGACTCACAGACTGGCTCACAGGCCACGACTCACACCTTCCTGAGAAGGCAAGGTCAAGTGGTGACTCTGGCTCAATGATGCAGGACTTCATTAGTGCACTTAGGATTTTGAAGATTATCTGATAAGGTAGGGGGAGTTACTAAATAGAGCTCTTAAAGAAAGAAGGTAAATCATCAAATTTGAGAAAGATCTGCCAGGCAAGAGTACAGAGAAGGGGTCAGACTCTGGGCAATGATGAGAATGTAGCTACAGCAGAAATCCTAAATAAATGGACTTGGCCATTACTCAGAAATGGAGCATGCAGAGTAGTGTGACTCAAGAGTGGACCAAGGGGGCCCAGCTTGGCTAGACAGTGATGCCAGTGACCATGAAGAAAAACGGGACAGGGAGGCTGAATTCAGTTTTGTGCCTGTGAAGTCTGAGATGTCCAGGGGACATAAGAGTGGGAGCCCATAGGAAGGGGTGATGGTCCAGGACTTGTTTACAAAGGATATCTGAGCTGATCTTGAAGGATTTTGTCAGACAGAGGAGAAAGGGTCCCAGACACAGGTCGAGGCCTCAGGTGGCAGAGGCAGTGCGAGGACTGGTGAGGCCAGAGTATGAACTTGGAGTGGGGGCCCCCAGGGCAGCCATTTAGACAGGAAAGAATAAGGGGAGAGGATTGATTTAGGAGGCCCTGGAGGCCCCTGAAGATTTCCCAGCAGACAGATGCATAGATGAGAGACTCACAGCAAAGGCTGAAGACCAGCTAATGGTCACTCAGCTGAGTTCAGATGCACGTAAGAACAGGTATGGCAGTAGCAGTGGGAACAGAAGGCAATGACAGCTTTGAGGACCACTCTATGCCTGACAAGATGTGGTCACTGATTCAGACTGAGGGAGATAGAGTCCTGGATTACTGAGTGAATATGATGCTATTAAAGGCAAAGACCACATAAGCCCAAAAGTATGTAGAGAAGGACAATGAGTGAGATCTAATCTAGAGATAACAGGGTCATAATGTTCTATGTAATTCTGGAAAGTGGACGGGAAGCTCAGTGGATGCAAATGGCTGATTGGGATGAGCACTAGTTCAAAATATTGCTCTGTAAGAACTAGAGTAAACTGTTCATAAAGAGGACAGCAAGAGCACATCAGTGCTGCTCCCAGGGTTATGAGTTGCTCATCAGGGCTACATGGAATGAGTGCTGAATGGGCCTGACAATATAAAGGAGTCCTTTACAGGGGTTACTTTCACGACTGTGCTATGATGCACACTCCACTACACTAAAATGGCACAAAGCCCTTAAGCTCCTGTCCCTCCCAGGACCAACTTCGAGAGCTCATTAGTGGTCAATACACCTACTCTGGCGGTAGAGTTCAATAAATCTCTTCTGATACTGTATTAGCTCAGCTCGGCTGGGCACTTCATCAATCTTGCGATGCAAAATCGCTATTTCTCGATTTCTTCGAGCCTAAATGCAAAAGGGAGGAAGAGAAAACACTATTTGGTAAAAGGCCTTACATGTTTTCTGGGGAACCAAAACATTTCCTGCCACCCACCTGCCCTGGAATACAGGCCCAAAATTCTGCTGTTGGCTTCAGGGCTCCATCTCAGATTCTGACTTTACAATATATGGAGAAGGTGTGGCTGCAAACTAGAACCACAGAGGGCACCAAATTAATGGACAAAAAAGGAGGATTCTGAATGGGATTGGCTATGTGGCCAGAGAGCCCAGCCAGCCCACAAGGCCCCAAAGGACTCTACAGTAGCCAGTTCCATCAGTGCCAGGTGACAAGGAACTGGTGCCACCTTGCCTCCTTATATATTCCAAGTCCCTTCATCTGGCTAAAAAGCTCCCACAGCTGACACCTAAAATACCTCTCTAGTATTTTCTCTTCACCACAGACTCTGAGTACACGGGCCAGAGTGGCTCACTGACTGCATCCAGGGAGGAGCAGCAGTGTGGTGTGGTGCAGGGGAGAGCGCAGCCCCTGAGGCAGGCAGCTCCGTGCACCATTTTCCCCAGCAGGGCGGATGCCTGAAAAAAGCTGCTCAGCTCCCATCAACATGTCCAGTCTCAGGAATAAGTGGGCTCTCGGTGCTGCCTTTCCTCTGTGCCTCCTTGTCCTCTGGCTCCCCAAGCTGGCTTTACTCACAATGGCAGATGTGGCTCTCTAAATCACTGGGGAAATATGAGCCTCCAAATGACAAACCCACCATCCACTCTAGTACAAGCACCCCCCATGGGTGTTCAGGCTCTGACTCCGTTTTTATTTTTGGAATCTAAAATATAATTATTCATACTCTTTTGTTTTAAATTTAAGATTTTATTTATTAATTTCTAGAGAGAGGGGAAGGGAAGGAGAGAGGGAATAAAAGGTCAATGTGTGAGAGATACATTGATCGGTTGCCTCTCACACCCCGCTAGTGGGGACCAACCTGCAACCCAGGCATGTGCCCTGACTGGGAATCAAATGGGTGACCTTTTCGGTTCACAGGCCAGCTCTCAATCCACTGAGCCACACCAGCCAGGGCCAATTATTCATTATTTTTACTGAATCTCTAAGCTTTCCCTTTCTACTGCCTCCTTCTCATCAGCACTTAAATAAGTTCAAATCCTGCACTCCTTGAAAAAAAACCCTTCCTTAAACCCTGATCATGTTTCAGCTACCATCCTTTCTCCTCCTTTGAACAGCCAAACTGCCTGAGAGCCACATACTCTCTGTTCCTCTAACTCCTCATTCCCCTCCAGACATCCTTTACCCAACACTACAAGTGGCTTCTTCAACACCCCACTGAAACTATTCTTGGCAATGTCACTGCACATCTTTTCTGGGATATGTCTAATGGGCAATTCTCAGATTCTAGCTTTCTTAACCTCTAGCAACATTTACCACTCTACTGAGCTTTTGTTCAGCTGCCAAGAGACCCCATACCCATGTTTTCCTTGCCTTCAGCTGCCCACTTGGCATCAAGCCTGATTCATGCTTCCTACTTTCCCTTGGCTTCTTCTTAGAGGGTTTAGCCCAGGACCCCTTCACGGCCTGCATTTTCACAGCTTCGATTATCACCTACACAGGTGTCACCTAAGCTCCAGCTCAGACTACGATGAGCATTAGACCCTTGGACAGAAATGTCCACTTCTTGGACATTTCTACATAGTTGAGTACCCTAACTTTCAAAAGCCCCAAACGGATCTTGCTAATACTCTTAGTCACACTACAAAACCCTTTAGTCCTATTCCTTTTCCTTTAATGTTTTTTTTTTCTCAACGAATAACACAGGCATCCACCCTACTTCGCAAGTCAGAAATCAAAGCACCATCCTTGACTCCTCTTTTTCTCTCACCCATCAGTCAGTTCCATCAGATATAGCTTCTCAGTCTCTCCCCTGCTGTTCATTTCTGTCCATCTCCATCCATCCTGTTCTGGCTCAGGCCCTTATGATTTTACTGTGGCTTCCCTCTAGCCATTCTGAAGCTATTCACAGTTTGGAATTTGCATATAAGCTCCCTTGTACTTTGATGCATATGGATGTATCTTGGTCCTCAAGAGCAAGCCAGCTCCCAGAAAATGGGCCATTCCATTTATTATTCCTGAGATCTAATGTAACACTAAATATAATCATGCAGTTAAAAAGATTCCAAATACACAGCTATACTGTTCTGTGTCTCACCCAAATTTAAACAGTGCAACAAAATAAGCAGGAGCCAGAGATAAAAAAAACAACACTGCCCACTGCCCACATCCCCACAGCCCTTTGCCAGAACCTGCCTTCCCTTCCCAGATAACAGAAAGAAGGACTGGGCTGGAGTATAACACAAGTTAACTATTGGCCTTGAGCTACTATGGGCAATGTAAGGGATTTTACAATGCTATTTTGACTTTATGTGAATGTAGCTTTGGAGCCAACTTTAAAACCTACCTCCCCCATACTTGATATCCTCACAAACCTCCAGGGTAATCAACTAAGACAGCTAAAATGGGCACTTAATTTTAAAGGGAAAGTATTAGACAAGAACACTGGAACCTGAATGCTGGCTCTGGCACTTACTAGCTGCTTGATCTTGGTCAGGTACTTAATAGATTTGAATCAATTTCTTCATATAGAAAACAAGGCTAATACCTACTCTTGACCAGGGTGAGGATCTAATTAAGTAAGACGATAGTGAAAGTAACATACCAATGTGAAGCGTTATGAACATCTTAAACCACTGAGTTACCCTCTAGAGAGAAGGGCAGCAAACAGCAGCCTTAGTACCATGTCTCTCTAGTTCTCAGAGACTGAAACTTTCCAGTCCTGCTATAGGACATTCATATCTAGCTAGATACATTTATATATTTGCGTGCTGTTGTTTTTACTCACCTGTAGTAAACGGATCTTATAAAGCTTCTCTTTCTCCATATTATATCGTCTGTCTAGGTCTTCCTAAAAATTGGAGGAGGACACAATTATCTGGGAATAGAAAACTTGCATTCTTTGACAAGGTCTTTTGAAGTTGAATGCTTTTTACCTTTTCTCCCCCTTCCAAAAGCCCCGAATTTCTTTTCTCCAATGACCAAGTTTTAGGGTCTGGGCCCTGTGTCATGCGAGACCTTTCACTCCCTTTCACATCCCTTATAACAACTCTTCCTTCTTCTAGGATCCATGCTGAATCCAATGTTCTTAAGTGAAGTGTCCCCCAAATTCATTTACCACCCCCACCAAAAACAATTGTAACTTAAAGAACCCATTGCCCTTGTTTCTGTGTTGAAGGTGATACTGATTCGCTTTCTATGTTTCTATTTGGAGCTGCACTGTCTAATATGATAGCCACTATGATAGTACACATGGCTACTTAAATTTACATCACCTAAATAAAAAAAAAATTCAGTTTCTGAGGTGCTTTAGCCACATTTCAGTGTAGCTAGTGGCTGGCTACCATATTGAACAGTGTAGATACAGAACATTCTGACAACTGCAGAAAGTACTTTTGGACAGAGCTGAATTAAAGAGAAAAATTAGTCAGCTCACTGAACACAGTAAGTTAAGAGACATGGATGGCTAGATGGTTTGCTGAGTTAGGGAAAGCTCCCTGACCCACAGCATGCACACGCAAGTGCACAACACAGGAGAGGCAGGCAGGCAGGCAGACAGACAGACAGACACAGTCTCCTCCACAGGGTTCAGCTGCAGGCAACCCCCTAAACTTCACCACATGAGTTCTGAAGTTCATTCTCTGGGAATTTCTAAGGGCACAAAGGGAAGAGAAACCCGAGAGAAGGCATATGTTTAAAGGCTTTCCTGCTTCTCTCTTCCTCCTGAAGCTCTGCTGGAGTGCCGGAGCCCTGGAAGCACTAGTTTAACTCAGGACAGGGGTCACCAAACTACAGTTGAAGAGCCAAATCCTACCGCCATTGGGCCAAATCTGACTCTGCCTGTTTTTGTGGGTAAAGTTTTATTGGAATACTGGCATGTGCTTTGATTTACATATTGACTACAATTGCAAGGGTGAAATTGGCATACAGAGCTAAAAATATTTACTATCTGGCCCTTTACAGTTTGCTGACCCTGGAATATAATACCAAAAAATGAGTTCTTTCCCTCTACACCACCCCCACCACTCAGAGCCTGTGGGTTCTGACCGGCATGCACAGTCAGTGCATGCTCTCCCCTTCTCAGAAGAGACACCAGAGTAAAGACAGAACACCTGCACAAGAACCCCCGTCCTCCCAGAACGGTGGCCTTCAGGGCCATCCCTGGTGAGGTCCTGCCTCCATCTGAGGGGCCAGCTATATAAAATGGGGCAATGTTCCTGATAGACTACAGATGAGGAGTGGCCATAGAGAAAATTAAAGTAGGCATGAGAAAGTGTCACAGAGTATAAAGCTGGCCACCACACCTGCAGGGAACACTGGCAGCCCTGACAATGGGCAGGTACTCACATTATGAGATATCACAGGGGTAAGGGCATCATGTGGCTCTCCACTGGAGAGGGTCTGAAATGATAAGTAAGGTGAATGAATGGGACAGAAGCTGAAAGTCTGGATGCAGGAAGGGGTAGGATGGAGGACAGTTCACTGACCATGTCTGGTCAGGGAACAGAAAGGAAACAGTTATATATGAGCCCCAGATTTTAAATTGCTCTTAAATGTCTATCAGTTACACACAAGTAAGCTAAACTTGTCTTTGAATGCTAGTTATAATCCTTCTAATGAATTGCTGAGAAGAGAATTGGGATTCTAAGTCTGTGATGTGTGTAAACTCAAAAGCTGACTGGGCTGACAATTTGAGCCTCAAAGATTCAAAATTTTAGAAATAGCTAGCAAGGCAAGCCATGCAATGATGTCCCAGGACACCACTACACTGCATAGCCTAACTCTGCCACTCCTTGTTCTCACAGGTAGGAAGAGTAGTGTGGCCTGGCTGACACAACCCCACCATGCTAGGGAGGCAGCATGTCCCCGCTGAGTGTGACAGTGTCCCTCTCAGTCCCTCAGTGAAGGGGGCGAGGGAGGGCACTCCTACTGACTGGCCTGCCCAAGTCTCTTCCCGTCCCTGAGCCTCAAGTGCTCCATATCTACCAGGGAGATGGTGCAATTGATGAGTTCTGAGGCCATGTCTAACTCTCATGTCCCAAGTATAAGGGTGCTCAGGAAATAAGCTTTGAATCAAGTGTGAGAAGGAAAAACAAAACATAGCAATCCTTAAAATCTTACTTGGTAAGAGAAGCGGACTTTTTTTTTTTCCTGTCCTTGTGTTATAATTTAATGCCTGATGGAGACCCAGTCTTTGTTTAGAGAGCCAGATGTGCCCCTTTAGTCCATGGAGCTTCTGCACTGTTGGGGCTCTAATATTAATCCAGCACTGCTCCCATTTCCTGCTTATTGCTGCCTTTTAAAGATTGGGCACAAGGACCCTAGGCAGGAGTGGAGGGTGAAATGAGTAAACTGGTACTAAATTTAGAGAAGAAAAGATTGAGTGGAAAACAGCTCTCAGGTGGTTCCTGGAAACACCCCTTTCCTAAAGGAGGAAGACTTGTAATCTGGTAATTCTTGTCTGGAGTGGCTCTCATCCATACCCACTGCTGCCTTTTACCCACCAGAAGGAAGATAAGGGAGAAGGATGAAAAATCTAACAAAATCATGTTGAAACCAGTTGACAAATGTGTGTGCACAAAACCCAGTTAAGGGAATTTGTCCTTTTCAGCCAGTCCTTCTGCTGGTTAATTCTCTAGAAATCTTTTCATGGTCAACACCTCAGGGTTTGAGGACTCCTTCAAGGCCTTTACCTTTTCTTCTCCACCTGGTGCTCTGTCAGCTTTCAGGTTTTCAATTTCCTGTTGTAGACGTGTCATCTCCTCCTTTAAAAGTGATATAAATATTTACAAAACCTGGACAAGCTACAAATTGGGTACAATTATTCATCTTGATCCAGAGTCTTATTTTCACATTTTATGAGTTTATGCTAAAACAAAAAAGTCTTCTAAGAACTAACTGCCCTGATCTCCAATTTTCAGCCTGGGGAAGTTCTTTCCAAGAGGCTACAGGCAGCTGTTCTTCAGTCAGAAGAGCCCTTTCTTTGTAAAGGGCAGGTGAGACATGCAGGAATCACTGGGGCATGAAATAATTGGGTGGCTCGGAGCCCACTTCCAATTGACCTTCTCTGTTTCCACTTCTCCACAAGACTGTCCACCTTTCTGGGTACCCTCTAGCCTGGAGACCTACCTAACCAAGCCCCTCCTCCCCTGGAATATACACAGGGCTCACCTGGCCTCACCTCTTGCCTCCTGCTAAGGTCATGGGCACCTGCACACCCATCACTCCCACTACTAAACAGTGAGTTCCCAGATGGTAGAAACGAAGGCTTACACATGACAAACATACATCCCAGATTTTCAGGACATCCCCGGTTTTATGTAATGTTATTCCTTTATATTTAATAAGACTTTTATTTTCAATACATGTGTAAGTTAGAAAACATTGTAAAGAACTGTGCTCTCAATTTTTGGGATTTGACACACAGTTACTAAACTACCTCACTTCAGCGAGGGACCTACCACAGCGCTCTACTCATCTTAAGCAACTGACCCATAAGTGCTTGATGAATCTATTACTTTTCTAACTGCACCTGGATAGGATGCCACAACAGGACAAGGGGAAGCAAAGCAAGAGATTTTACAAGAGTCCTGGTTTAATGTCTGCAGACATCAAGCAACACTTACTCGACAATGGGCTTTAAACTCCCGTTCCTGGCTTTTTAGATTTTCATTCATGGCTACAAGTGCTCTCAAGTTCTGCAGGATACTGAAAAGAAAAGACCAACAAATAACATATGGCAAGACCAACAAATAACATATGGCACAGCTAAAACCAAGTCTCAAGCTAAAAAAGGAATTCCTTTTTAATTTCCTTTGTCTCTCCCAAGTGTCTAATGAGCTCTCCACAAATGATTAAGAGTGCCATTATTTTGAGCGCAGGCTGCAAACCAACGTGTTGCAGGTTCGATTTCCAGTCAGGGCACATGCCTGGGTTGCAGTCCACGGCCCTCAGCAACCGCACATTGATGTCTCTCTCTCTCTCTCTTCCTCTCTCCCTCTCTCTCTCTCTCCCCCTCCCTTCCCTCTCTAAAAATAAATAAAAATAAAATCTTAAAAAAAAAGACTACCATTATTTAATTGAGTCAGAGTTCATCAAGCTACATTCAAACAAACATTACAGAATCCAGAATGAAAATGTTAACTGCAGAAACATCAATGAGTTTCAAGAGTGCTAGATATAATTAATGATACGAATTACCCAGCAGTACTCAAAACATAGTAGGGAAAACTATTTCTAATTATCCATTCTGAAAAGAAAACATGTTGCCTAAGGTCATTAACACACTAATTTGAAAATAAAAATGTCAAATATCTAATAGTACTTTGCTCCATATCATGACAGAAGGTTTTCTAATTATAAAGCCAAGTAAATTTTGGGCACTTGTTTGCTAAAAATGTCTATCAAACCCAGAAATGCTCAATCTGTGCCTGAAGCTTTTTATGATTTCAAAATCTCATTTGAGTGAGTGACACTTAGAAGATATTACCACCCAAACTGTTTAGTGACAGAAATATCAAATGTAAGTGCTTCTTCTACATAATTTAAATTGTCTAAAAACAGGCAATTTAAAATGTGGGAAAAAAAAAACCAGAGGCTGATTTTCACAGAAAAGACTGCACCTTTACTCCCAAGGAGACAAGACTTAAAGCAAGTGCTGTTAAAAACTGGTAACATTTAATATCTACAACTGTGTTTTACAGATTCCCAATTCCAGATGAAACACAACTGAACTAAATCCTGAAATCCTGAATCTTTCCAGTTTTCTTAAATATTTGGCTACAATTCCCCAAACTTAATGTTACAGTTTTCTCCCATCCTCTGACTTGGAATTATTGAGAACTACTGCTGCAGTGTAAGCCATACAGAATTTACCTGAGCATCTGATGACAATACCAGATACTCAAACTGCACATAAGGAGAACCTATTAAATTGGCACTGCTTGCTTTCATTTCAGCAAAAGAAACTTTCAGCCTAACATCTAAAAATCTTCTGAAGACATACAGACTCAGAAACTGGTTTATGATTTGCTCTGATCATTAACCTTCGTTTTTCCTTCTGTTTTCACAGGCATACCTCTTATTAAATACCTGATTGCTTGTTTACACAATACAGGTCCCACTTTGGAGGCCCCTTTGCAGCACTGCCTCTTGAAATGAGTCTCAACCATTTAACTGAACTGACTTATTTTCAGGACTAAGTAATTGAGTCAATGAAAAAAGAAGCAATCTACGACTTCACTTCAGGAATGTAAAACTTTCTTATTTAAAAGGGTGAGACTGAAGGCACCAAAGTTCTGCTACCTTGCAACTATTTTTCCTTTCCTGCCCAAGAGGTTGAGACAGAAGAAAACCTACTTCAGTAAGAAGATTTTAGGATGTTCCTCTTAGCCTAACCTGAATTAAGTATGCTAAACAAGAAGGCTTCAGGCAGCTGACATACCTTTATGAGGGAGGTCCCTCAACCAACCTAATCTGAGATACTGTGAAGTATTGTAGGTCCCTTCCTCTATCACCTGGTTCTTATCTCTACTCAGACCTTTAGTTACTATAATTCTGTTTTTCATCTTTGGACCATGTCTTTTTAACCTTCTTGCCAAATTTATCATCTCTAGGATACAACAATTCTATACCAAGATGACGACGGTTCAGGGATTCCGACCCATCTCTACTTCATTGTTCCAGTCTCAGATCACATTCCCTTGTCTCCCTTATATCAGGCAGCGAGAGACCATACTTTATGCAGGCAGGAACCATGACCCTTGTCCACAGGAAGCAGTTACTGAAAATACACTATCTTCCTTCATCACCCCTAGATTTTAGGGATGGAAGTCTCTGACAGGGGTATGAGGCAGGATAGTAAGAAGCTAGGAAAATTCCTTGGCAAGTGGAATAGGAAAACTGAGACACATAGTTGAACAAACTGCTCAGTAATTTACAGCCAGATATAGAAACTCATCACAGTAGAAAGCCCTGGGTGCCTAGCAACCAGCAGAACTGGAGCCAGACCTTACCCCCAAGGTAGCCTCTCTTCCCCTGGCATATTGATGGTCATGTGGTTTAGAATCCCCTGACCTTTCACATCACTGGTCGTGCAGTTCAAACCCTCCCCTGACCTTTCCTCCCTGGGGAATAACAACTATGCCTCAGTTGTATGAGGTCTGTCCAGAAGGTACCCAGCCATGTAATATGAAAAACAGAGACATTTATTGAACAAGATACAAGAAACATTGTACACAGGACAATGACACCTCAGTCCCCTTCAAAGTAGGGACCTCACACAGTTCTCTCCATTGCCATCAACTGCCCTGTCGTACCTTCCTGAATCTCATCAGTGGTCTGAAATCCCTTCCCTTTCAAAGGTGATTTTACTTTTGGAAAAAGGCGTAAGTTAAATGGCGTCAAATCTGGGCTGTAAGGGGGCTGAGTCAAATGGATGATTTGATGTTTGGCCAAAAAACTCTGCACAAGACATGATGCATGAGCAGGCATGTTGTTGTGATAAAGCTGCCAATCACCAGGTGCCCTAACTGAGGTCTTCTGAATCATCTGAATAGTTTCCATAGAGGAATGTTCAAGCTTAAAGCAAAATCTGATGCAGATGTGTTGCTCTATTCACACATTCATTTGGAATGCAATGGCCACCCAATATACTTGTGCTCACGTCTAACGCCACCACTGACTAATATAGTGAAATCATCCTTGTTCACACATGCACATTCCAGTCTACTCTCCTTGGCTGCCACTGATGTTACACTGATGTCATGCTGTTCTTGTTATATTAACAATGGCTGGACTTTTTTTGGAGAGACCTCAAGTTTCAGCTCCAGGCCCAGAAAAGCATCAAAACTAGGCAGGCAATGCCAGGATGCCAAGATCGGCTGCAATGACTAATGACCCCCTGCCCTGGCACCAACCAATCAGTAGAGACCATGACCCTGAAAGGACACATCTGGAAAAGCTGATGAATGTTCTATTGAGATGGTCCCCTGAGACTTCCCCTAAAGTCTGGAAATTGGGTAACACCCTTCAAAACAAAGAAGCCAGCATGTGTTCTCCTTGGGGCATGCCCACTTACATCTCATTTTTTCAAGTGAATTTTCTTTCTCTTAAACTCTAAGAGTCCCCATGAGACTTGCAACCAGGGAAGCAATAGGCAGGGGCAGCTCATCCCAGGCTAACCCCTTGAACCTGTCTCCATGGCTCCCTTTTCTCTCACTTTCCAGAGAGCTGACAGCAGCCCCATCTTGGCTCACTTCTTTCCCATAATGTTTCTAGAGCACCGAAGCAGCCTCACCTAGGCTTTCTCTTGTTGCTCCTTTTATCCTAAGCCCTTCTTGTTTCACTGCCTCCGGCTTTAATAAATGTCCTCTCAAAATAAAAAAATAATTAATTAAAAGAAAACTGGTAACAATGGTTGACTCCAGGAAGAACTGAGTATCTGGGGGATGAGGTGGGAGGGAGACTTTTCACCATGTACCTTTTTGTATCATGAATAAATTACTTAGTTTTTAAAAATGGAAAAATAGTTAAAAACCCCAAAACATATTGCTTCTGATCTTCAGAGCAACTGGGAGGAACAGGCAGCCCAAGCACATCTCAGCACATGACTGAGCAATGGGCACATTCTGGATACCATGTGAAATTAACTGACCTGTATGAGGACAAAATGACCTCTGGCTCCTTAGTCCTGTGTTCCAACCAATTAAGCCACCAGATACTGGAAAAGTAACTTTCTTTAAATAAAAAAATAAACATGTGCTGAAGCCTCTTACCTTGGATCAGCTTTGGATTCTATCTTCTCAAGGGATGCCTGTTCCTTGTCCAGTTTCTCACTATAACTCTTCAACTGCAAGAGAGAATGGAGGCATTGTTGCTAGAGCTTTGGCAGAACAGAAGAGCAAGCGCTTCCACTCTCCTTCCCCTTGGTTCCACCTGTACTCCACTTCTGACAGGTGGGTGAACCCACAAGATTTAGCTATACACTGAGAAAATAGGTGGACATGAAAAATAGGATGGGTTGGAGGGACAACATGGAAAGGTCAAAACCAGACCCTTCTTGATGCATACTGATAGTTAATAAAACCTTGGCAACAACTTTCAATCACAGCAGCAAATGGGTAAAAAGTCAAAAGTAATGTTGACAGCAGGTACCTTTTACTAGGAAGGGGAACTAGAAGGAGTGGCTGTGAGAGAGAGACCTGGGTTTAAATGGCAGAATGCCAGTATCAGGTTTATTAACAGGGCAGGACTAAATCTCCTATCTTCTTGAATAATTTCACTTCCATTTTCTGAGTCAGAGTAAGGTTTTCAAAAAAGAAATTTTAAAGAAACTTAAAAAGAAATATAAATTATAGAGTGTACAATTATATTACATAATAGAATACGAAGCCACTGTTAAAAATGTAATTCGTAATGATGATTTCTAATATCTACTGTTACATGAAGAAAACAAGGTACAACACCACAAATATAATATGCTTACAATTATTACAAAGAAATGCATATATTAAATGTATATGAAGGGGGACCCCTCCGAAAAAAAACAGGCATTATTTTCTGGAGGGTGGGTCCCTTGTAGTACAGGCTTTCCCTGCTAGGTGAGTATTCTCGGAACCCATCTGTATCAGTGTACCAGCTGCCATTGTCATGAGAGATTGTGTTTGGCTTCAGTGAATTTTTTTTGAAGCCTCTTAACGCGTTTGTCCATTTCAATAATGGACGACTTATGACTGCATCTGCCCACACCCTGGTGAGTGTTCAGCAGTTTTTGACCAAAAATGGCATGACCCCCATGCCCCACCCTCCCTATTCACTGGATCTTGCCTAGAGTGACCTTTGTTGGTTACCCCAATGAAAAAATTCCTCAAAGGGAAACATTCTGCTGATGTAGAAGAAGTGAAACAAAAACAGCAGAAACACTGAAAGGCATCAAAATCAATGAGTTCAAAAAACTGTTCTGAGTAGTGGAAAAACCATTTTGACAAGTGTACTGCATCAAATGGAAAGTACTTTGAAGGTGACTGAAGTTTAAACATGTAAGAATAAATACACATTTTTTAATAAATAAATTCTGTTTTTTGGGTCCTCCTTTGTACATGTATGAAAGAATATACATGTTACTTTATATGCATAAACTACTTCTGGAAAGATCCATAAGAAACTGGTTACACTAGTTATCTCTGGAGAGGGAAATTGTGTGGCTGAGTTACAGTAGTATACCTCATGTACTTTTTGAATTTTGAGCCATGTGAATGCATTACCCATTCAAAAAAAAAAACACATTAAAAAAAGTACCAAGGGCTCTAGCTGAAAAAAGACCAAGCACAAGTTGCAGAAATCCCTTCTTGCCTCAGGTCCTAAAAATCCAGACTATTATGTTGAAACAAGGGACAAGAAAGATGGACAGTAGACAGGAATGGACTGAGGAGGCCTACTGTGTGGAATTAGCGGACGCAGAAGGACTGGGCTGTAGGGCTGGGATATGCATCAGGGTCAGCCAGCGGAGCTAAACCACATGGCCAGGCTCCCTCAACCCATGAGCTAATTCAAGAGCTGGTGCTCGAATCACAGAGGCAGAGCAAGGCCCCAGAGAGTCAACAATGTCCAGGAGAACTGGAGAGTTGGTCAACACCAAATATTAGGTACCATTGGCTGATCATACCGAAGAGTAGGGCCCACCCTCTCAGAATAATCACATGAAGCAGACTGCATAAAATGGATACACAGTCCACATAGTTGGTAACAGGAAATCTGAGAGTCAAAGACAGGGATCCCATCAAGAATTATCAAACACCTGAAGAAAGAAAGATACAACCATAAAAAAGAGTGTGTGGAGGACAGTGAAGGCTGGCGTCATACAGCCGGAGCCCACAGGGGTTAAGGAAGAGATAGTTAACCACAAGCTTCAGCAGAATGCGACTAACTTTTGCAGAAAAAATATTTATCATTTACATAGCCTGGGAATGGAGCAATTATGCCTGTAGTTTTTCCCTGAGCCTGTGAAACATCCTTGAGTTTTATCTTATAAAATAAACATGGAGACCATGTTCAGGGTCATTGTCTCTCCATCAGAGGACAATATCCCACCTGGTGGCCACTTTTCCTTAAACTGTCTGTGTCTTTCTCAATCTCCCATTGCTGCCCCCTCAAGGACCTCCCCTCCCTGCGCAGGTCTCGACAAAGTGTATAAACTTAACATGAATTTTGATCTGAAGAAATAGTTTATAGCTCAAGAAAAACTTGACACAATTTATGCCCTTAGAGAGACAGGACAGGATACAGCGTATATTAAAAAGGATTAATCATGCACATAGGAAATTAAAATTGTGATTGCTGAATTTAAAAAGTGGACAGGCTAAAACCTGGTGGCCAATGCAGGGGCCAGCCAATCTGCTGGCCTTCTTACAGCGATGTGCAGCCTGCCCTCGTAGATGGCATGTAGACATCTGTCTTCTACTTTCCATGCCTGGCTTTACTTTTCCTAAACTTACTGGAAAGATAGGTCTCCCCCGGTTTTCAGTGCCACTAGGGTATCCTGGAAGAGCAGATTTTGCTGAAATGGTAAAACCCGTGAATAATGATGTAAAAGGGTTCACTGTACTCATTTTGCCCAGTCTTTGCCTCGCATTGGTACGGAGACTGAGGCCCAAACACAAAGCTCATTATTTATTCATGAGCTTGGTCTTCAGTGTTCTGACAAAATCAGGCTTCTTTCTAAGTTATTTAGAACTAGGTTTTGTAGAGCTTCCCATTTTTGTAGATGGGAATTGGTTTGACTGTCCTACTAGTAAGCTCTCTTAGAGGTCTTTGGTGCCACACTACCAGCTTGGACCTCTGCATGACCTTTCTGCCTTATTTCCCTATCTGCAGAACAGGGATGATAACTGTGTTGTTTGTGCTGTTGTGAGGACTAAGTGGACTTATATACAAGTGATGGGCCCAGAGCACACCTAGCACATAGTAATGCTGACAGCTATTATTATTTGAGGATAAGCAGATTACTTATTACTAATTTAAATCACACCTCTACCTTTCCAGCACCTGAAAGTGGCTTAACAAATACTTGATTTAGTGTTCAGCACAAAAAGCCACTTAGGATTTATATCCTAAGGCATATACATGGTTTAGGAAACTGGTTTTCCAGATTGTTACACACAGACTGAACCATGACTTGGCACACTTCATGTTAGAGACTCTTCAGCATTAAAAGTAAGACAGCAGCAGAAATTCCACCCCAAGAATTGGTCATCTAATCCATAAGGAATGTAATCACAGAAGAGTAGAAAGAAAGCTCATCTGCCCTAACACAACAAATGCATCTTTAGAAAGAATTTTATAAGAATTTACTCTAACTGCCTGATTTAAACATTCTAACAATAATCAAAGTGATCTAGTCCAGGTCAGAATTAAAAACCCTAGTCAGGTTTTCAGGTGTGTAAGTGCTGCATACTGCTGTAAACATAAGAATTTTAAACAGGCAGATTTCATGTGAAATTTTAAAAAACAGGGACTGGTTTGGTTTCAGAAATGTCTGAAGATTAGTCCAGTTTCCATGAGGTCCACAAAGTACCAGACGGGGCACTCACAGAGAGGCCCTTATAGAGTATAGCCATAGCCTGAGCTCCAAAATGACAATGAAAGCTCTCCTGGTCAAGGTGAGTAGTATTATGGGAATGCAAAGGACTATCTCTAAAGAACTATCTCACTCTCCTCATGACAGAGCTGGCATCAAGAAGTGTTTGTTTTGCTCGTCTGGTTCCCAGGCAATCTGATGTGGGAGGTAAGCAACACTCAAATGAAAATGTGAGATGGTACACTCATAATCTGGGTTAGAAAATGAACCACATGCTCCAAGATATACCAGTAAATCCCCTTTTCTTTTGAAACCTCCTGCCCCATCCCACCTAGGCTTAGTCAGTAATTTTGAACAGCAAATTACATCACTGTGGTTCTCTCATATTATAAAGAGAAAGCATCTCACTCTCACAAAATTCAGTATTTTGGAGCTATTCACATCCTGTGGCTTGAGGAGCAGGGGCCATTGACTGTGAATGACCCTCCATGTTCTTCGTTGTGGCCTGCCCCACCCCCTCATCAGGCCTACCTTCCTCAGGAAGCCTATCCTGACCTGTGCACCCGCTCTGTGATGCCTCCCACCTAATCACTGATGCGTTAGATAGAACACAGAAGCATGGATAAACTGATGGCATGGGTCAGGCACTATCATGTGATTGCCCTATGCCCCCAAATGGACCTGAGCCCTGAGAAGGGATTCATGACTCCTCCACACAGACTGATGGCACATGGCATTCATAACAGTGCAAGTCAAAAATGAATTTTAAAAAGGCCCATGGAGAAAGGAAAATCTGCTCACCTCTGTCAGTGTTTTCTTCATTTCATCATACCTGGCTTGTAGATTGGTATGATTTGCCTGTAGCTGTAAAGGAAACAAAGAAGACAGCTGCTCTTATTCTTACATCATACATATGGGTGATACTCCCATTTCACAGGTGAGAAAATAGAAGTGCAGAAAGATTCAAACTGAACAAATGTGGGAATTTTAGAAAGGCTGACAACAACAAATGAAGGAAAAACTCATATATAATATAGTATCAACTACATGTCAGGAGAGATACCAGATATTCTGCATAAATCCTATCACTGAAACTTATGTTCAATGGAAGAAGACAATATCTTTATTTTAAAGATGAAATATAGACTCAGAAAGATTAAGTTACTTGACTTGACTAAAGCTTCACAGCTGATAGCTGATAAAGCCTGGACTTAAATTCAGGTCTAACTTTTCTATATGGCTACAATTGCTTCAGTTAAACAACTTGCTCATTCACAGAATACAAACTGCACTTCAGTACTCAGGATTCCAGCACAGAACATGACTGATTGGCAAACACTGCAAGAAAGAAGAAAGGATTCAGGATTTCAACACTAACAGGAAGAAAAATGATTACCTTTATTTTGAAAGTTGCATAAATTGTAAACTTACATCTCAAAAATGTCTTTCCCCTTTTCCTCACTAAAAAGGTTTATATAGATAGCCTTGTGTTGTCTATGAACTTTCAGAAATCTGAAAACATTCCATTAAAAGTTCAAAGGGTTTGCACATTTCTACTTTGAAAGGGGAAATGGCAGAAACCATCATCAAATTACTTGTTACCTGTGTACAAATTAACACTGAGAAATTTTATCCTATTATCTCAAAAATTATGTCAAAATGACTTTGCTCCATCCTTGAACTTGTAAGCAACTTATTGAGAATTGTATCATCATCAGAAATCATTATTCCTCAATCATACTTCTTATATCAGTCTTCAGATTGATGAGTAGTTATACTTCAACAAGGCGTATCAGGAAGCCAACTCAAAGAGACAGCAAAAGTGACAAAGGAGGGAAGCAGGAAGGCTCTGGTTTCTTCCTTTTCACAGGGAAGCACCTGTTCAGGGACAGCTTTTATTAACCTATTTATTTAACTGGTAGATGACAGTATTTCTGGAGGAAGCATTTTTTTTCCTCTTGAAATCCTAGTGTTTTAACTCTTGAAAACTCTTTGAAGCTACAGGAAGGGGTCCTGGCATTTTCCCATGGGCTTCATCCACCTGCCTGCCCTCTTCTTACTCCTGTACCCACCCACCCATCTGGTATTTACCCAATACTCTGCGCTCAAATGAGTATTTTAAAGTGGGGAAGAGCAGCAGCTAAGACCAGCCCATGAGGTGCCCAAGGAAACAGTCACCTTATTCATTAGGAAGTTCAAGGAAGTCTTCACCAACAGATTTACACTCAACAGCTGGATCTTGGCAGGGAAGTACATGAGTGCTAAGAGTGGAAGACTCATTTCTTCTGTTAACTAATTTAACTAGTAAGTGTTTTACTCTTCTCCTCATCTGACCATATTTTCTTAAACAGGACTGTCCCAGTAGCTAGGCTTAGTCTTCATTTTGCTGTAGTCCTCCAGGTTTCTCCTGCCTACACTTTCTTTTTCCTTAACCTTCATCACCCCAAAACTTCAGCAGCTGGTTAACACTTTCTTACTTGATTCCTCTTTCTTCCCTCAATCTTCGGTGTCTTCTCAGCTATCTACCAGCTGCACTGCAGTTCTGTGCCACTGCAACATGTTTGCTTGGATCATGGGACGTCCTCTACTCCTTCTCTTGCTTCTACCCCTCCCCCATTTCTCTGTTGGACTAAAAACTTCTCCAGGGCTCCTAGCATTAAGGCCACAGGTGCCATCTTGGTTGCTTTCCCCCTGCATTACTTGTAGGAGAGGTTCTTAAAGTTTCAATTCTCTGTTATACTCTTGATAGAAATGTAAATTGGTAAAATAATTGATAAATAATTTGGCAGTTTTTCAGAAAACTGACAATGCATGTATTTTTTGATCCAACAATTCTACTTCCTAAAATATATCTTAAAGACATATTTACATATTTGCGCCAAGATGACAGCATGAGGATATTCACGGTAGTAAAACTTGCAATTGGGAAAAACAATCTTGGAGAAGCCTACATATGCATGAATAGGGGTCAGGTTAAATAAATTACAGTACACATATACTATGTCACACCATGTAGTCATTACAAAGTATAAGGTAGATCTATATGTTCAAATCTTGGTTCCACTGTTAATAAGCCATGTGACCATGGGCAAAATTACTTCCTTTCTATGTGTCTCAGTTTCCTTATTTGTAAAATAAAGACAGTCTACAGCCAGACCACCCGGAATCCACCGGATCTTATCTGATCTCAGAAGCAGGGTCAGATCTAGTAAATACTTGGATGAGAGAGTACAGTAATAGTACCTTCTTTGCAAGGGTGTTGTGTGAACTGAATAAGTTAATTAAAAAAAAACACAAAACACCTTATAGTTAGTCAGTAAAAAAAAAGTCCTTATTAGCCATTATTATTACTGAAAGAGAGATATCTGTGATAGAGTAAGAGAAAAACAAACTCAATTTTGTAACCAGACAATCCACCATCTCCAGGTGAATGGGCATATATAAGTACTTGCAAAGGTCTAGAAAATAAAGGCTGGCTCTAAGAAGCAGAACATTTTTTTTATATGGTTCTATACTATTTGGTTTATTTAGCTTATATGATTCCTATAATTTAAAAGATGTAAAAACCTGGCTGAAGAGTGTAAACATTGATATAGAAAAAAATGTATTTAGTATAGACACACACAGCATATGCTCTCTCAGTGTGACTCACTATTCAGTGTGCACTAAGAAGAAAGTGTAAGGTGGTCTCACAGGGCCAGATGAAATGGCCAGGGAGACAACTGAGAGAACAGGAGGAGCTAGAGTTAAAGCTCTAGAGACCTGGATTCTTATACAAAAGGCTTGTTAGGATTGTTGTTTGTGACCCCTGTCACTTCTGACAGAATTAGAGACTATTACAAGATGAAAAAATTCCATAGATCAGCTAGCTGAGAGGTGAGCAGCAGGACAAATTTAGGGACAGTAACAAAGGGATGTCCAACCTGTGTCCCACAGGCCACATGCTGCCCAGGATGGCTATGAATGTGGCCCAACACAAAATTGTAAATTTACCTAAAACCTAGTTTTTTTTTGGTTATCAGTTTTTGTTGGTGTTTGTGTATTTAATGGTGGTCCAAGACAACTCTTCCAGCGTGGCCCAGAGATGACAAAAGGTTGGACACCCCGGCAGAGGCTTCATATTTTCTTTTTTGACAGAATACTGCAAATTAAAATGGGTATAGCAAGTTACCTAGAAAAAAATGCACATTCTTACAGCCCAAGAAAGTGTTTATGAAAATGTTGATGTTGGTTTTACATCTTTATAAAACATTCATATCTAGGCTTATTTGGAAACATTTTCTTCTTTGGTTCCTTATATTTGCATAAAGTTTTGGTTCATTAAAGTCCATTCCTGTTTATATTTTCATTTCATTCTTGAAGCAGTCTCTCCAGGCATATTTTTATCATCATCTGAGACTCCCTAATTCATACATGATATGTGACCCTAGGCAAATCCCTACCTCATTTTCCTCGTCCAGTTGGCCTAGCTACATAGGCAGGGGTTATTGCACATGCTGGTGCCACTGCAATAATGATTACTGTCCTTTACTAACAGACTGCTACGTATTAGGCAGTATGCCTAAAATATAGTAGGTTTTTGGTAAACACAGGTTCAGAGAGGCTTGCCGTTTTTAGCTGGACGAAGAACGTGCCAGGACTGCTCCTGGAATAAGGCAGAGCATCCTTTCTCTCCAAGTTTAGAGTTAAAAGAAAACATCTACTCATGCTGAGATACTCTGGTCCACAGGGTCTACAGTATCCTCACAACTATTCTCCCTCAGAGGAGAAAAACATTCTGATGGATAGAGCCTCATCCTTGATTCATGCCCATCTTTTTGAATCAATCAGTTCTTTTTGAACCAATCAGTTCTTTTTGAACCAATCACTTTCAGGTTCTTTTCTCTGGCAAGGATCAGGAGTAAAGATTATATTCTCTACTATGAATTAAGATACCTAAACAAATCATTAAATGAAAACCAATCACAGTCCACCTTGGTATCCTTGTTTGCTTATAATTCAGGGTGTTTGGTAAAGAAAACCTATTGTTTGTTCACCTGTGGTAGAACAAATTCTAACAGAACAAATTCAATCAAAGAAATGACTGGCTAGACCATCTGATATAGTACTATCTTTTGAAAATGTGGGATTTGAAAAGATCAAAAACGTGTAAGTTCAAAATGCCAACTGGCACCCATTTTTTAAAATTATTTTTTCAACAATTGAAATTACTGGTGAACTTCAGAAAGCAATATTCATTCCCATTTTCTCCTGCTAAATGTATTTTTCTAATTAATTAAATCTTATTACCAATGCATATAACAATGCTTTATCTTCTAATGACTGTTCCTGAGTGAACCCCCCCAGCTTCCTTTTATGTGTACTTTTCAAGGTGAATATATAAAGGTCTTTCTAAAACAGTACTATCCATCATCATACATTACAGATGCCATCCCACAGCTTTAGAGCTCTCTTTATTATTTAAAAATGATCTGGTTTCCTCCATTTTCCCTAGGATCACTAGTCAAAGCCACCAAGAGCTCATGTCTGGACTACTGGATCAACCTCCAAATGGTTCTACTGGAATCCCTTCTCACCCAAATCCAATTAATTCATGCTCCCAAAGCAAACAGAATGTTCTTTGAAATATGCAAAGCTGATCATGCTACTTTTCTACTTAAACCCTAAAATGGCTTCCACTTTCCTTAACATGACCTCAGATGGCTCTGCTGACCAGCTGCCTCACGCATGACTCTCCAGCCAAAAAACAGAGACTAGTCAAGACCCTTCCTCTTCCAGGTCTTAGTTCATGCTGTAGCCTAAATCTTCACCCAAGCCCCACACAGTTCCCATGCAGACTTCCTGCCCAGCCAGCACCTGCTCATCTTTCCAGCTACAGTCCTTTGTGACGAAGATTAGATCAGGTCTCCCTATCAGCTCTCTAGACTTCTCTTTCAAGCACTTACCACGTCACAGCTCTAAATGATGCATGTGCTTTGTTTAGTGTATGTCTCCCATTACTATCTTAAGATCCTTGAAAGCGGGAATATCTCTTTCTTCATTCATCCTCATGGTCTAGTTTAGTTCCTACCATGTAGAAGTGCTGAGTAAATATTTGTGAATTAATAAATGCTACTCTAGCCCTGTGATCTTCTTCTAGAATAGAGGTTGGCAAACTTTTCCTGTAAAGAACCAGAGAGTAAATATTTTAGGCTTTCTAGGCCATGTGGTCTCTGCTGCACCTACTCAACCATGCCACAGGAGCTTGACAACAGACATAGAAAATATGTAAACATGGGTATATATTTATTCCAAAAAAGCTTCGTTTACAAAAACAAGTGGGGACTGGGTCGGCACAAGGGCCATAGTTTACTGACCCCTGTTCTGGAACCTCCTTTGACCATTTTATCACAAAGACCTTAACTCCTCCCCTAATTCTTCACTTCTTAAACAATGGTTCCATTTTACTTGAATAAAATTATGAAAACACCAACCTCTTCCAGATGTTTGGTCTTCTGCAGAATCTGTTTGTTCAAGGAAATGACTTTCCGACAGTGAAGTTGGGAGGTTCCTAATTTTTCTGGACTTTCTTCAGCTGATAGCTCAGACTGCTGTGGAAAACAGGGAAGGCAAATCCAAAGGATTAATCAGTCCATTTTGGTTCATGTAAGAGAGGTCCATTCCTGCTCAATCTGGGCAGAGCACCACTGGCTCCTGTGTACAATGTAGGTCCAGAGAAGAGACTCAGCACAATGATCACTCCCTGTCCATGTAACTACATTCCTGACACAGGGAATGGCATGTGCCGGAGCACAGGAATATAATATCGACATAACTGTGGTTATATTGCTACCATCTGACAAAGGGCATCATCAAAGGTCTTAAACAGAGGAATAACACAGTCACATTCACAGCTTCATATTACCACTGTGGAGTTATCATCAAGAATGATGAATTGATTCACTTTCATCAATGGTTAAAAAGTTTAACCATTCAGAAGCACTTACAATGAAAAACATTAGTCTCTCAACTTACTTCTCCCCACCCATGGGCTCTTTTAACCATTTATTTCTCTTTTTTTGGTGTTCACAGAACATAGATTTAAGAGGCATCAAAGTTGCTGACAGAGGCCAGTAGGAAATTCCTGAAATTATATACATTAGGAGGGGATGGAGAAGAATGGCTGGACAGGATATAGAGACTGTCAGGAATGGAAGTAAGGGAGAGATTTCTGGATGAGGTGAATGTAGTAACATTACTGAGAAATCACACAAAGAAGGAAGCAGCCTGATGTAGATGCTGAATACAAACACATGCCTCAGGACACCAAGGAGAAGCCCCAGGAAAAAGAAACAAAAAGGCTGACCCTGTTGCAATAGGTATACTTAGAATACTCATTTAGAAGATCACAGATAGCTTTACTGAACATGAATAGTTTAATACCCATTATAACCACATTTCCTTTTTATTGGGAGCATCCCAATTCCAAGCAAATTACTGATTTTAAGCTCAAGTACAATAAAACAATTGGGTATTTGATTTTCCTAGTATGTTTTAACAGCCACTGTGGACTTGAAAGTCCGGAAGATTTACCCATGGCAAAGAGAGATGGGAAAGTGAGAAGGAGGAGAAAGTAAATGGTACAGTCATCATTTAATTTGGGCAAGGATTTCCCTGAATAACTCAGCAGCATTTTTAACAGATGACTTTTAGCTCCTTAACAACTCTGGAGGTAGGAAACAACCAGCAGAGTGTGGCTGCATAAAACAGTAAGGAATGTCATTTTCTATCTTGTGGGCTGGTAGGCCATAAAGGAAATAGAAAAACAAAGCATTTGTCCTTGCAACATATCTAGTCTCGAAACCTAGGATTTTGGAAAATGTCAACTAACATATTTCAGCTTATCCAGACTTCTGGGAAGTGGAGTTACCTTTTAAAGATATAATTGGACATATCAAGACATCCACAACCTGTAGTCTGGGGAAGGAGAATTCTTTTTGAAAATTATTTGAGTACAAAAAAAGGGGAAGAAGAGGAAAGACCAACCCCTCTCAATTTCCAAATCACCTGTCAGAAACAGAATTATAATTAACTAATTATGTCTGCTCTACTTTGACTACATCACCCTGAACTATGTTACTAATTTGGTCACTTTCGTCCGCTATATATTTAGTAGCATTTTTCTTATAGATAATTTAGATTTGGGTTTTAACATCCAACTTGACCCTGATTTCTAAAGTGTCACTGGAATATCCTCAAAGCATTTTACCTTACTAACAGAATGACATAAGCCTTCTACCTCACAATTTACTGACATTTAAATTAGAATTAATTCTCCATCCACAAGCACTACCCCACATGGTATATCCCTATGTTTGATGTTCAGATTATCTTGAGTACCCTGATCTCCTCCAGCTGCTTGTCTGGATTTGGACCAGACCAAGTTGTGGGCAGGCAGGCCATGGGGGGTCAGTGTCTCACTCATGTCCCAGACCTCCTCCAGTCTGCAGGGGTGGGCACACACTCATTCAGTGCTATCCTGAACCTTGGGCATGGGTTGGATGTCTCTAACTCTTAGTAGGTTTTCTGACTGATTAACTGATTTTATGACCAAAGTTCCAAAAGAATGAAAATGCATTTCCCACCAAATTTCATACCCTCTATCAGCGTACACAGTACACACACAGCTTTGTTTCAAAACTATGACCTTTGACTTTACTTCCAAGAACTCTTCATCAAGGGAAACTAGTAGCTATTTTGATATTTGTAAAGATTTCCAGGATAGTCTATATCTTTCTTTTTCTCTCTATATCTGGCTATCTTTCTCTCTCTAGTATCTATCTATCTATCTGTCTATCCATCCATCTATCTATCTAATCCAATCTATCTAGATTTAAAATTTTAGCCACAGTTGTCTCACAGTCTCATAGGACCCTTTCAGGGGAACTTCAAGGTCAAAATCCTTTTCATAATAATACTAAGATATTTTTTCATTGTCATAACTTTATAGTGAAAATTTCCCAGATTTTACATGATATGTGATAACATCATTGCTTTGATGTTAATATGTAATATATTTATTATGGTTATTTGTAAATGAATTAATATATAAGCCATTGGGATCTCAGTAATTTAAAGAGTTCTAAAGGGTCCTGAAACTAAAAATTTTGAGAACTACTACTTTATTCTAAGGGGACTGACTCACTCAGAAATTCTTTATTGGCCCCAATCATTGATTGAGAGAGCTTCATAGCACTGAGCTCCAATCATCGAGTGGGTCCACCTATCATTTATATAACACATAAAGGAGGAAATCCTTTTCTGATTCCACTCTTTTAATAGACAGGTGATTCAGAGAACCATAAAAACAGAGAGAAAATATTAGCAGTGCACAGAAAGACTCCTGAAGTCTCTGTACAAATGTACTGTTATATCTCTGCACTAACAGTATGTATTCTCAGCAAACACGGGCTTTCAAAATCCTTTCCCTTACTGCTAGGTAGCAATTCTCATTGCTCTGAGGAGTCCCTTAAATTTGTATCTGCAAAGCATTAATGTACACCAATATTGGGACAGTAAGTACCATTTCCATATTTGACACTTCTCCAAATTAAAATGAATAATATGCACATGAGCAGGCCCATAGTATATATGAATTTGTGAGTTCCTCCACTTGCTTTTGAGTCTAGAGATGGTACTATGCAAACTGCTTTCTTTAATGGGAAGTTAAAAATCATTTATTCATTCTAGAGCTGAACAGCAAAGACTTCTTAGCCTAATCAATGGAAAGCTGATTGCTTTATTTTTCAAACATACTTTTAATTAAGCAATCTACATGTTTCATTTCTTTCAAATACCCTCTAAAAAGCCTGAAGCACGAGACTGATGAAGTCAGAAACAGGTCTTTACAGCAGTATGTCTCATCTGACATTCTTTTCATTGAGAGTCAAAGTGGAAGAACACTGAAGGTGACCAACTTGGATCTTGAAGAATGAAGACAAAATTGTCCAGCTAGAGAGTAGGAAAGAGGGCTTTTCAGTAAATTCTTGACATTTGAAAAAAATGTAAATCCTGGGGCATATTAATTGATTTCAACTTGAAAAGTGTAACATCTCTCAAAAAATTACCAACCATATACAAATATTCCACTTGTGTTTACACTGGAGTGAAGATTATAGTACCAATCTAATTTTGTTCAACAATTTCAGATTAAGAACATGCTTTCAAAACCACAACATGGATTAGATGACTTCTCATTCAGATTCAATGTTTTCTAATAACTGACATGTATTCACAACTCCCATTCTGAGGGAAATCAGATTTAAATGTTTTTCAATAATATTAGCTCAGTTTAAAATAGTAAATTCCTCAGAGAAACAAACAAAAAAAATGATTACTTTAGCTAAAACTATATATTTTCATAATGAAAGAGACCCAAAAGGTTATCTACATAAAAACCTTCTTTTTAATACAGGAATCTCTCCTATATTACCCCCCTCCCCAAATATGGTCACTAAGCGTCAATAGTAAAGATCTCTATCTCACAGGGGTGCCAGAAGTTCTCTACTGAATAGATGAACTTCAGTTACTGGCACCTTGACTAACCTTCCTATTAAAAACAAATATAAAATATAAAATATTTATTAATGTAATCTTTTAAAAAATCTATAAGCTAGCAAAAATGTAAGAAATCTTGGAGTTCCAAAAGGCTAGTGAAAAGTGGAAATCCAGGAAGGTGTGTGAATCCACTGAAGTTGGCATTTTTCTTGTGCATATTTGCCAAAACCAGGTGATCTCAATCTGATTTTTCAATTCTGCACCTGATGTTCATAAACCTTGACACAGGTATAAGAGGAAAAACATCTGCAATAATATTTTATAACAACAGATTGGCCCACAGGTGATTCTGTTGTTTTGTTTTTTTAATTGCTGTTCAAGTTCAGTTGTCTCCATTTCCACCCCATCAAGCTCCCCAGCCCCACCCATCCCCATATCCCACCCTCGAACCTACCCACCTTTGGCTTTGTCCATGTGTCCTTTATACATGTTCCTTGATGGCACATGTCGTTTTGCAATCTAAATTTACACACTACTTGGATAGTCCCAAAACCCACAAGTCAAGACTATGAGTACAACAGACCTGGGCTGGGGTGTCCCCAGGTGCTTGCCAGAAGCAAAAGCAAATCTTTTCCGGAAGAACACAACTTCAACTCTAGGACTCAAAGAAATTCTACAGATAAATTTCCAAGAAGTATGAACTCACAGTAAAAAATGAAAAGCACACACAAAGTTCAAGTATGACAGGCAAAAGCTAGCAGAAACAGACAGCAAGATCAGGTCTGCCAAGATGCAAACAAGTACCTGCCCATTTCTCCCTGAAGCAACGGAGATTAAGTGTAATCACCCTTTCACAGTTTACTTTATCTTATCTAGAAGCATCACATATCTTTCCTCCTTCCTTTTTATAACAAGATGTCAGTAACTTTCTCCACCTTGGCTGTTTCTCCTCTGAACATACCCTAGTTGGTTAAGTGAAATTTTCAAGTACTCCAGGTATAGTCTGAGAACAGCAGACAGGATGGGACCATCCATCTACTTTCCCTGATCTACA